CGATCCACTCTTTCACTTGTATAGCTTGTTGACTAATATATGATTCATAACTTGAATAAAGAGGTCTCTCTAGACAAAAGATTATTTTTTCCACCAATGTGCCTTAGGTCATTAAGTTTTACTATCAGCATTTTTCCCTAAGTCTTTAATCATAACAAAGCTGAGCTTACTAAATTATTATTTGATTGTTTTCAGGAGTAGAAATGCCGGGCGAAGGTCCAGTGTACTGAGTACATCACAAATAATACCTTGCAAGGTTAGAAAAACATTAAAAACAATCAAGAATCTCATTGAGTGCTTAGGGATGTCGGAGATTTTCAATGATATACGGACAATCTTTTCTCTCCTCCTTCTTAGGTGGCCTTAATTGTGTTAAAAACCTTTTCTTTTCGTGTTTTACAGCATTCAAAGTCAACATCATGGCAAGTAGCTTGGAGGAGGGATCAGTAGAAATGTTTATGTAGTAAATGTTGCCATAACCGTAATAAAGACTGATTGCTGAAGAGAAGTGGTTTTCTTTCACTATGCAATGTTATTTTTAAGGGAATGTATGTTCAGGAAACTATGTGATTTGTACTTCCGTCATATAAAATAACTTGGGAAATTATAGGATCCAAGAAACCTAACTCTTTGAAAATAGTCTCAACGTATGCTGAAAAGTCGATTACAGGCGCCGCCAAATCCGAATTTAGCTCAGCTACTCTGACCCCAAGAAAGGTCCTACTCATCTTTCTCCAATTTCTTAATGATCTCTGCAAAGAAAGGTGCCCTTTAGTCAATTTCTATGTCTAGTGCGTAGCAACTAGACACCTTGCAAAAGCGATAAGAGATAATGACAAATTCATAGCAATTTGAACTAGAAACACGTACGCACTGTGAACCTATTTTTCTTTTACAACACTCAGAGCAGTTTTTGTTTATAAACCATGTGTTTTGATCTGTTTACTTGCACCACAACGTCGATAAGTTGTTTCGAAAATTACTGTGTCAGCTTTCATAAATGTTATAGGGCATCTGGAGGTTATTTTTCGAAGGCTTTTGTTGCTTTTTTGAAATGTTAAATCACCGTAAGAAGTATTATAACATAACCAAAGTAAAGCGCGCGCTCTGATTGGTCAATTTAGCGTCCCCCATTTACCCATGGGTGTACGCTGCTGACGTGAGCAAATGGAAAGACTATTTTTCCGCGCGCACTTGTTTTTTCTGGTCGCGTAAGATTTGTTAAATAAAAGGGAACTCTTTAGCTACAATGTATCAATGTTATGTTATAAAACAAATGGTAAACACCACAGCGTACACTATTGAGTTATGGATGCACTTGGGAGGTTTGCTAAGCACTCAAGAAGCTAGAGTCGCTCTCGGCTATCGCCTCGAGCGACTCTTACGCTTCTTTCGTGCTTATCAACCTCCCGCGTGCATCCATAACTCAATAGTGTACGCTGTGGTGTTTACCATTTGTTAATCCTTACTGGCCCCATTGACCTCCCATCAAAGACCATGTTGTGCTCTATGGGATGAAAAAACAAATGCCTCTTAGAGACTAATTTTCGGGTAAAGGATGACAGTATGTGAAAAATGAATTCATGTTTGGAGACAAAACAACACTAAGATAGAGTAAATAGTCCCACTTTTGCATTTTAAAATGTATGAAGAAAAATAACTATCTTAATGAGTCGGTTGATAAAATCGCAAACACGCAATTAAAACAGATATGCAGAACCATACTCAATCGCAACTTGGTTACGGCACTGAAACAAAATTTACCCTATCGCAGCTTTACAGTGTTCTCTGGTAGTCTGCAGAGTTGATCCCCGGGGAATAAATCCACCCATGGCGAGTATGACGGAGTAAGGTGTTTCTCCAACTCCAACACATTCATTTCAGTCTGGTTTAGCCCTTTTTGATCCTTTGCATTGTTACTCATGACTGCAAAAGACTCTGCTCTTTGGACTCTAGTATCGTTAGACTCCTTCCATACACAGCAACCCGCTGTCCAGACAGCTCGGGGAATGGCAAGTTTTACGCCGTTGTGAACCACTTTTGAATGAAGATCTCCGTTTTCTTCAAGATTAGTTGCAAGGCTATATTCTGAGGTTCCGGTCAGTAAGTACAAAGTCCCACGACGGGCTCGACTTCCACAGGTATCTGCTGCGTAGCGGCGGATTTTCGCCTCAAAAATCTGCCAAGGTCCGCTGTTAGATGCGATGTATTGTGGGATTATATTAGTGAGGGTGAATGTAGCCTTCATGAAATTTTTATCAAATGTATTTATGGCTACAGGATTCATGTGCCCCCTGCTGAGAGGTTCTTGTTGTATCACTTCTTTGTAGGCGTTTTTCAAACCTGGAACACCTGAAAGAGGGAGGTAATCTAAGTAATTTGCAACTTGCTGATGGTGAATTAACCAGAAAAATTAAATAAATAAATAACAAGTTTTCAGCTCCGTGGCTTGTGATCAGGGAAAAATTGGATTGTTGGTGCCGTAAGCCAGCGCATGACCAATGAACAAGTGTCGTGATTGGTTGCTTCTTCTGCTTTCTGCCTGCGACTCTGATAACCTAGTTTTCACTGGGTCATAGACGTTGCAGTCATGGCGGAGAAGGAAGAACACGGAACCGTTCTGATTCTTCCGGCGAAGTCGGATTCCTTCAAGTTTATGACGCTTCCGACTTACTCGGTCGGCAACTCTACCACAACTTCGGTTACGATTCCGGGTTTCTAGTCGTTTCGTACCCACAGATATTTCGCATTCAATTGATTCGTAAACAAATTCAGACGATTAGTTCCCAGTTTGTGTCGGTTCGTACCCAACCCTCTGGTCAATTAGTGCCCGTCTAAAAATTCAGTGACAAAAAAAAACCCCGGTGAACGGATGTGGATTGTTTCGGACAATAAGTTAGTAAAGAGTCTGATGAATAAGATACGATACAAGTTAACTTCTGTTTATACTTGTAACCTTAACAATAACATCTAAGTCATTGTCTAGCGAATCGTAAATGTGATATTTTTAAGATAACAGTCTATTGTAAAGAATAAGAAAGATGGTAAATTTTGAGCTCAATAAAGAAATATGAAAGATGTTTTTTGTCTAGTCACGAGCGTGGGACAATGGACCTTGCTCACTATAAAGTCTCTATGGGTCAGCGGTAGAGCATCGGAGCGCGGAATCCGAAGGTTTGAGGTTCGATTCCTCATCGGTACTCGCAACTTTTTCTTTGACCCACGCTCTTGAATAGACGAAAATTAACAAATGGTAAACACCACAGCGTACACTATTGAGTTATGGATGCACGCGGGAGGTTGATAAGCACGAAAGAAGCGTAAGAGTCGCTCGAGGCGATAGCCGAGAGCGACTCTAGCTTCTTAACATAACATTGATACATTGTGGCTAAAGAGCTCCCTTTTATTTAACAAATCTTACGTGACCAGAAAATCAAGCGCACGCGGAAAAATAGTCTTTGCATTTGCTCACGTCAGCAGCGTACACCCATGGGCAAATGGGGGACGCTAAATTGACCAATCAGAGCGCGCGCTTTACTTTGGTTATGTTATAAACATCTTTCTATAAAAGTCTATTGTTTTCACGTGTGACTTTCGGAACAAAAACGGGTTATTAGCACTCGGGCGAGATAAGTGTTGTTGTTAAAAAAAAATACGACCTTATGAAAACATACCTTATTAGCATGGGTACGAGTCGATCAAACTGACTTGGTACAAATGCTCCTAACAGGGTACGAATCGACTGAGAACTAAACGACCATAGATATTAAACGACTGGTGGCAACCACTGTCGAAAACCAGCCTTACAAAAAAAAAAATAAAGCTATCACAAAAGAATCACCTGGAGGATTCCTCCAGTTTCTTCCTCTGACATCTTTTCTGCTGTATTTTCCAATAAAAGGCGCCTGTTGGGGAGTCACTTTGTATGCGGAATAAAAGGGGATGTTTCTGTCCGTGTCAAACAGTGAAATAAAGTAAGGGTGTGTCCCAGGGGGATCCTGAGGAAGTAACTGATGAATTTCTTGTCCTCGACTGATACCGGGGAGACCCTCTGGACGTCTGTTCCCAACGAAAAATGATGGTGGCCAAGGTGACCGCATCCTGCATTGTCTGCAATGAACTGCCTCGTTCAGAGTTTCTTAACACAAAACAAACAAAACAGAAGCAAACAGTTTCAGTTGAAGGGTTGCAGCGATTAGGGAGGGGGCATTTTAAAAGCCCCCCTTCAGCATCGTTAGGAAGATTCGTATGTTATTATTTATTTTATTCTTTTAATTCTCTTTATTTCATTGGTGCTTTTATTCTCCCTGTTTGGAGACACGATGAACTAGCGGTAAGCATGCTGAGTCCGTGCTGGGAGGCCTGTGTTTGAGACTAGACTGGGTCATTGTGCTGTGTTCTTACACAAGACATTTTACCAAAGCAGAACTCCACTAACGAACTCTGTTGACTCAAACAGGATCTGATTTCCCTCACATTATTTTTCCAGTCACTCACTATCAGCTGACCCAAATCTCCGCTAACTCGAACCATTTTTTGTTTACCTTTGGAGTTCAAGTTGGTAGGGTTCTATTGTATCACATAGCCTCTCTCCATCCAGGGGCGGTTGTTCAAAGCTAGGAAAGTTATTAAAGTTATCCCAAAACGGCTTTTGAACTGAGAAATACAGAAACCGGGATTAAAATTTAACCCTGGGTTAACGCTAATCGGCCTTCAAACAAGTGGGCCCTAGGCCATATTGTATAAGTATAAGTGGGTGGAAATATTGCCTGCTAGCAAGCTTGGCAAAGGCTTCCCTACTCCACACGAGAACTTGCTAGCAGGCTAAACAAAATACAGGGAAGATTGGGGTGAGCAGCACCAGACTGGCATCTCTTTCCCCTGTGGCTTCAAGCCGCAGAAACGGGGTCAGCCTTGGGGGATGGGCTACTCCGCTTTTTGGAGAATTTTCCTTTCACGTATATACTCACTGGCTTCAGAAACTTGATTGGATAGTATAAACACTAACAGCACCAGAAGAATAATTGAAAATGGCCAAACATCTTTCACGCACAGCATTGTGGTATACCTTCAAACGCAGTCAGTTGCAGCTGCTGTAGAAAATAGAAAAACTAATAATAATAAAAATAATAATAATAATTATAATAATAATAATAACAACAATTCTAATTATAATATCATAGGTGACAAATTACTCCTTGATTTTGGCCCGAAATTTCAGCGTTAATTTTTAACTTCACATGTGAAATTACAAAATTGCCATATGGTAACATCTCTTGTATCTCGATCAGAGCCAAGATGGCGTCGAGATTTAAGACGGTGACTCTTGAAGAAGTTACGAAATTAAAAGAAGGGGCCGGAAATTATTAACAGGCACGAAGAACTCGAAAGGTATTTTTTGTGAGGAAACTCAAAAATGTGTAATGAATACGAGAGACTGAATCGTCAGGAATAAACCTGCTGCCTTAAAAAGGACAAAATAAAAAATCCTGCTTTTAACGTCGGCGAGCTCATAAAGAGAAATTTTAAATCTACAAGCGATCAGAAAGTGCAATTACTAAATCACAAACTGATGGTTCAATAGTAAAGTTTCGTTCCATACTCGTTTCATTCCACGTTGCCGTTCCGGATGAAATTAATCTCGTTTACAGATCAAAAATAGCAATTCCTAACGTCATAGAAGGGTTTCTTAAAGGTAAAACCTCCTGAAAGAGCATTTTTGGCTCTTAGCTTCACGAAAAGCGCTGAAAAATCTCAAGTCGCAAACAAATTGTTGACATCCGCCATTTTGAATTGTTATGGCCTAACCACTGTAGTTTGGGTCCTAGAGTCTCTTTCCCTGTTTCTCTATATTCCCTGTTCCGTTCTCTGTTCCCTGCTCCATTCCCTGTTCCTTTCCCTGTTCGGAGTTTCCCGTTCTCGATTTGAGCAAAGTTTTTACAACATCCAAGCTCTTTGAAGATCATAAAAGTAGTTTTCAATCAACAGCCGCCCCCTAGTTTTCACGTGTTTTCATGTTCAAACTTGACTCAAAACTCAATTGTGAGGCGTCACGTCTCATTCAAGAAGAAGAAAAAAATTGTGCAGATTCGTAATACTGGAAGAAAATTACGATAGAATGCTGATGTGCGTCAATGTTCAATAGCGAGAGTGTGTGACCCTTACCTAAAAGTAAAATGTAATTAAAACATGACATCACTATTCAAAACAACATGGACCGCTCACTGTCTACAAATTCGTTTTCTTTTCTATGTCTTCTGTCCTTATTCATAGCGTGAAATAAGGTAGTTACGAAAGGTTATTAAGCTGAAACTTTACGAAACATCGTAATGAAGAATGAGGGGGAATGGGAGGGGGGGTGGGGGGTCAGAGGACTTTGGCTGTGTCACGATAAAATTTACTTGATCCCACAATGCTTTATAATTTGTTTTGATGATCCCTGTTATGGGCAGTCAATTGGTGGTCAATTTCCTACAGTTTTCCCTTTACGATTCTCTGTTGGCGAAGTCTGAACTCCTTCCCCCGTCCGGAGTCCCCTTGAAAACCATGTGATCCCCCATAGTCATACGACCCCCCTAAGGTATAAATGATGACTAGTCCTAATCAGAGCTAATCGGCTACGGACCTTCTCGTATCTTGGTTCACTTTTAAATGTTTGTATCCTAGGCTAAATTGTTCTAGTTCTCATATGCTGAAAATGAAGATTTATCGTTTGAAAGTGAAAGGGACCCTCATCGATCCATCTAGGATGAATTACCATAACAATACGTGATTGGTCTTGCAGTGACGTGCAACTTCCTACCCCAAACGTCTAAATTTTATTTGTTATTTTGCTCACTTAATCGTCAATTTGTACAAAGTAACGCAAACACAACACTGTGTGAACCATACAGCTTATAAAAAAGTCAATTTTTACCACAAAAATGTTGTGAAACGACACTAACAAGCTCGATCTTAATAAATTTATGCTCAAATGTTGTTTTTCTTTGGACGACAGCTCGGTCACGGGATTCCCCAAGTTTTCGTATATTGATAAATAAAGAAAGTTACTTTCATTAAGCATCTGCTTTAGTAGATCGAACAAATACTCTTACCAGTTCTATCCAGAAAGGAACAGCGACTAAGAATCTAAATTAAAGCAACCACCAAACGAAGAAGCCGGCCGTTCGAAAGTTGTGAAAAAATAATATTCATTGGTCAAAGGTTGGCGGTAAGGTGCTGATATCAACACGTCACAGTATCGCAAGCCTCCGTAGTTTCAAATTTCAGGCCCGAATCGGCAGCAGGGTTGAAGTGGGAAAGCGAACTTCATTTTAAACGAGTTTCGTTAAGGAAGGGGCGTATTCAGTTGAAAACGACTTGAAGTAAGCTGCGTCCTTTTGGAGTCAATCAGAGCAAGAGTTAGACAGCATTCCTAACTACCTTCGATTTGAAAAACCACTGACCGCCACTATATCGCTACCCATTTCAGTTTCTCCCTTCCTTCGTTTCTGTTCTTTCGTTCTTCGCATCAGGAATCGATCAGCTGGAATTAAGAACATTTTGGACGGTCTTACGGAATGACTTACAATTAAAAAAATCCTACACACCACTTCCCACAACCGCCCAACCTATGACCCATTGACTTTGTGGTCGGTGTAATCCGGAAATGAAATTTTTAAGTTAGTTACAATAAACAAGTACCAAGCAAATACTGAAATTAAGCCTCACGTGATGAAAATAACACCGCTGGAGAAAAATTGGATTAATAACATCGATATAAAATAAATGTAACTTCTTATAAGTACTTACACAGCCAAATAATTGCTTCCATTACCTCGTGAAACAACGAAAAGTATCCATGCTATTAGTGTATTTTCCTAATAATAAAACTTGACTTAAAAAATGTAATACCGGGCGTAGAAAAATGACATCACCGGAAGTAAATACCCCGCGCATCCCATGTGCTTTTAGAACATGATCTTTGGCTTGATCAAGAAAACAACGCTTCACTATTGTGCTTAGTTGATTGAAATGAAAGTTATGAGCGTCTTTAAGGTATTTTTAGGCGTTATCATCTAAGAGGTTTTTTGAAAGATTGCAAATCTGCCAATGTTTAGAGTAATTGTATTTACCCCACACAAATAAGCTCACTTCCGGGCACTAAGACACCATATTTGGCAGGAGTAGCATTGTCTATTATTTTGACCAATCACAACCAGGATTACACCGGGGCCCTTTGAAGCCATGTTGGTGCTAGCGCGGAGGAAATTTTAGACACATTTTGTTGTGGTGTTTCAGTTGTGAATTTCTTCGTGATTCGTCTGCTATCGAAGCGCTAATCATCGGAGGGGGAGAGTGGTTTGGTCTGCTTTCGTGAGCTCCGTCTTAGCGCAGAACGCGTTAGAATGTCTCGCCGCTATGACATGGGCGAGCAAGATACTCGTGCAGTCTCCAATCGTCGGAAAGTCACCGTCAAAGTTTGTATGCTCGACGATTCCGTGGTAAAATTTGATATAGAGGTGAGTGCTTATGCTTTGACCACCATGAAAGTATAGACTAGAGCAAGAAATGCTCGTAGAATTTTTAAAGTTGTCTTTTTTTGTCGGCAGTTCATCAGTTCTGAAAGTTATGAAATTCTCTGATATGCTTCGCAGCCCGAAATAATAAATACACTTAGCAGCTGCCTTGGGAAGCTAAAATTCCCCGTTATCTCCTTTTTTTCTTGCTGAAGTAAAAAGTGCACTTTCGGTATTCATCGTCCGACTATGCTTTCAGTTTGATGAGAGGATTTCTTAAATTTCTTGTCGACCGTTGTTGTCGTTGAAAAATATGCACAAATTGGCATTATCAATGAAGCGCTCGCTAAAGTATTCGATATCGATAGCTCCGAATGTTTTGTGAATATAACATAATGGCTCTCCACGTGCTTAATTTTACCAACAATATTTTTTACCTCAGATTGCCTTTTAAACTTTGTTGTGACCCGAATAAAACATTCAGACTTTCATTTTCCGTTGAAATATGTTCAATTAGTGTAATGTTGTGTCGATCAGATCCAAACACTCAGTTCGATTTTGCCTAGATAGGGAATTCTCAGGAAATTGTCATTTCTCGAAATCCAGAAATATTGTCGATAAACAAACTCTTTTCTAAAGGATTGGATCCTTCTAGAATGGATAAGAAAAAATTCTGAGATACATGGGAGAAAACGAAATATTAGGAAAAAGCTCGCGCTGTATCGGAAACCATTCTTTGTTCCAGTTGGAGTCCAAAATAAACTGTTCTTGATTTCTGTTGCCGGTCCATTCTCATCGATTATTCAAATTGTAGGGCATTCGGGAGTTATGTGCTTAGTAGTTCGTTCCGTTCCATCTAAATATGACCGTCGCCAAATAGTTTTTTAGTAATGCTTAGTGGATTATGTAGCGGTTTCGCCTTTTGCTATTGGAACAATTTTCAATAAATCATTTCCGAAGTGGAACAGACTTTAGCATATAATTTCCATTGACAGCCATTCCATCAAAGATCGATATGAAGGGAAGATTTTGAAAGGTTATTTACTTGGATAGGAGTGATTCATTAATTTAGTGTTTGTTCGTTGCTGGGATGTTGTAGAGAATTTGCGATTGTGCGTCCCCAAGGACATACCTATTCCGTGAAGATTTGTGCTGATGAAGTTGACTGGTATATTGAGAATCTCAGCTTTAAGTATATTTTGGACATCTCTTGCTTTTGTCTTATCGTCTCGTTGTGATTAGGACGGCAAAGAATGAATAGTTAATTTTTTTTCTTGGCAATGGTTAATTTTGATCGCCATCAATAAAGCGTTAGATTCAAGAAGTCATTAGCGAGTTACAACTGCAGATACACAATGATGTTTCAGTTTTAATTTCATTTGGCGAAATTGCAAAGTGCTTCTTCTCCTCAGTGTTGAAAAAATTCCAGTTCCAAACTGTGCGGTACGATTATGAATCTATAAACAGCGTATTACATCCTAAGCCTTTCTTTAAGGTGTTTTGAGGCAGCTAATTATAATTAAAATCCTAGCTGATATTTCTGAGGCTTCATGGAACGTTGTTTGACTGCCGTAAATTCTAGAAATTCCTTGACCCGGAATTCTCAACACCAAGCGATTAGACATGAAGTTTGTTTACACAGATGTATATGGTATGACTTCAGGCCTTTTTTTTTTTTCGCTTGTGCTAATTCATTGGTACTTTCACTTAGGGTTATGTATCATTCTTGCATTTGAACCTGTCCTAAGCCAGTATCCTCAACCAAATGCTAGTATATTTAACCCTTCAGTTAGAGTCGCACTGGTGTATTCTCTGCCAAATACTTTACAGCCGGCAGTTGATTATGCATTTGCATAAAAAAAAAATGCTATCTGTTGCAATTTGCAAGAAATTACTTGATTTGACACACTCAGCTAGGTCTTAAAGTATTGTTTTTTTGTAGCAAGCTTTCCCTAAAATGCAAGATGAGAGGTCTGTGCTATGAAGGGAAGACAACCTTTGATTTTTTGAACTTAGTTTTCTAAACCTGAGATTGCATCATTAATTTAACCCCAAAGGAGAGACAATTGCCGACATATAACTGTATATCTGTCTACATGTTTTGGGTGACTGCCAAAATGTTTGGCAAGTGTGTTGGTTGAATGAAGTAAGGGTGTGAATGCCAACATGTTTATAATGTTTAAAAAAAGTGTGTATTGGAATACTTGCGACTATGCTCCATTGAAAAGTGTAACAGTGTTGTTGTTTACCACAGTCTCAAAAAGTAAAGACAGGTGGATTGTGGCCACTCATGTATATTGTGGTTCAGGTTTACATTTAATTGGGTCCTTTGTCAAATGTCAATTTTCCTTTGTTTTTGTAGCCAAAAGGTAAAGGCAAATCTCTGTATGACAATGTCTATGAATACCTGAACTTGGAAGAACGTGAATACTTTGGATTAAGTTTTTATGACAAAAATGATAATTTGGTAAGTACCTGTTTGTATTTAAACTATAACAAGTTTGAAACAAGGTAAGAATTGCATCCTGCTGTTCTGGTACTCAAGATCAAATTGAAAATGAAAGTTACAAAATTTAAGAAACGATAACATATAGAAAATTAGTTAAAGAAGGTAACTGTTTACTTTTTACCACCACATCAGGATGCAGCTCAAGTTACTTTGGTGTTATTTTAGAAAGACCTTTGTCTTTGTTGTGCAGTTCAGATCTTGAACTTTGTTTCGATTATCTGAAAGTACAATATATTTTTGAGGCATTAATTTAGTCTCAAGAAAGTAGTGAAGCATGGGCTAATCTTATTCTCCACATCTGAATTAAAATGGCTCAGGGCATTGAAATTTTTTCTAGAGAATTCTCCAATATTCAGTCCAGATAAACCTATATAAATGTAATTGAAAACAAGGCCTCAGAAAATGTATTGTACACGTGAATAACTTGCCAAATTAGAGTTGATTTCACAAATTACATTTGAGACATGTGGCTTCCCATGAATTGTTTAAGCACATGGACTTACACCTAGAGGAAACCAGTTGGTCTCCACAAACTTTTCCAGTGATAATCAGACAGGTTCATTGCAAATCACAACTGTTTTCCATCTCAATATACCACCTGAAGGAATAACTGAGTTTTAAAATTTCATTAGTTGGGTGATCATGAAGTTTATATTTAGATTCCATCATTTTGGAAAAAAAATTAGTCTGGCAACAGTCAAGCTTTGTACTTATAAGATATGCATGTAGATTATGGATGTAGATATAACATTCCAAAGTGCTTGCCTTTTCTCATGAATGTGAGTAAATATGAGTGTTGGAAATAAATAAGTAGATAAACAAAGTAGTGAATTAATGTATTTTCTGATGTACGTTATTATGATATGCAACTATATGTCTTTTACATCAATGCTATAGGTGGTTTGCACTTGACCTCATTGCCACCATGTTGGTGGACATAAACAATAGATATCTCACTAGCTCCTTTTGTTCATCCACCAGCATTTGTTCCTTTCACCATTGTTACCCGTGTCTTTAGAGATTGGTTGCAAACCACTGTTATGTGCACCTGTAAATCTGTTGTGGTTCAATTTTATCCTTGGTTTAAATTTTATTTTCCATTGTTTTTGGTTATGGTAATGTATGATAATAGGGTTGAAACAATGGAAATAAAATTAAAACCAAAGATAAAAGTGTCCCACAACATACCCAACCCTTGTTTTTTTTTTACATGTCATAGACATAAACAGATACCATGTTATTTTTGTAGAGACACATCTGAGTCTCTGTTTACTGTTAGTGCAGCCATTTCCTTTTCATAATATGTCTGTTGTTTGGTGCAGATTCAAAGCTAACTTGAAGTGCTAAATTTGTCAGAATTTTTTTTGGACTTTGATCGCATGGTGTGGAAATTCTGTCATCATATGTCTTAATTTCCCCAAAATAAATTTATATTAAAAAAGTAATGAAAAATAATTTTTTGATAAATGTTAATAGTGCAATGATTTGATTTGTGTTCTGGTAGAAGAAAAACTCAAATTTTAGTTACATACTTTGATTTTTATAGAAGCTGATTATCTTATCCTCAAAAACCAATAGTTTGCATTGTAAAGCCAATATGTACTTAAGTATACCATTATGTAAATACACAAAATTTTTATGTACACAGCACACAAATGATTTTTTTCCCTTATTTCTCCATCAGGTTAGGATTTTTTTTTTTTTCATGAAAAAGTGAATATGATGCAGACACCAAAGGTGTTAACACAATATAGTTTTAAACACACACTGCTAAAGGTTTTTTCTCACTTACATTCTGTTCTTGATATTATTTTTGCCCTCAAGCTAATTTTTGTAATCACACTGAACTTATCACAGACAAGATGGCTTCCTCTGTCATTTAGCTCCCCTTAATTTGGTACCTGCAATTAATGTTGTAAGGAAAACAGCTACTTCTCAAGGATTCTATCAGCACTTTTTGCATGTTGTTATGATATTTTTTTTATTTCACCAAAAATCCTACATGTTGTAGTAATGATTTACCAAAGATCCACATTGATTTGCTTGTGCTCAGAGAGATAATTATTTGTTTTTATTTTTATTTTGATATGAATAAAATATTGCCAAGAAGGGATGAGTGTGTATTTTTTCTAAATGATATTAAGATTACATTTCTTCTCTACAACACATGTAGGTACATCAGATGTGCATAGATCTGTGAAGGAGTGTCTTTTATTTAAGTTCAAAGTATTGATTTGAATAAAGTAAGGATATGAAAAAAATAAGAAGAATAGAGAAAAAGGGCTTTTAAGGAACCATAGTGAATATGATTTGTTGGGTTGATGTATAGCAGGGAAGAAGGTAAAATGTTCTGATAGTTTCACCAAGATTTTTTGTTTTAGTAAGAACAAGTCACAGTGTATCTGTCTTTTATTGGGAGGCTATGTTTTCAGCTTTATAGCAGAAGAGCTCATGAACAATGTGCTGGTCATGGCAGTGTGCAAATAAAATTGCTTTTTTTCAGCTTTCCCATCAGACAAGTTGGAACCATTTCCCACCAGCCCAAGGTTCCTCTTATTGCTTATTGGCCTCTCTTCATCTGCTGAGACAGAAAAGTGAAAATTTGTTGCTTGCCCTCTGAGCAAGTGCTGAAACAAATCCACTATCAGTCTGAACATTTTTTATGCTCTCATAATAAGCTACTGAATGCAAGTTATTTACGTGTACAGTGTATTTTGGGGTCATTTAATATGTTGCTCTTGAAACTAGTGGAACATCCACTTCTCTTGTCCATGGAAAATTGCTTGCAAAATTTAGCTTTGCCCCTTATCATTCCCCATGAGTTTTTCTTGTGTTAAATAATTTACTTTATTATTTAGTCATTATTTATTTGTTTATTATTTATTTGTCTGATTTTCAATTGTTTTATTAAAAAAATGACTGTATTTCAACTATGACTTTCAGTTTTGGCTTGATGATATTAAGCCCTTAAACAAGCAAGTCAAAGGTGAGTGTGGAGTACAATCTATGTTTATGTAAAAAAAAAGGTTATCGTCCTTCAGTTACTGGTGACAAATAGAGGCTTACTTTTAGGTTGAAGTGTACCATAGCTGATGAAACTCTTACCACATACCTATACATTGTAAATCTTTTTTTAGATCTCCGTTCAATGCTGTTTAGATTTTGTGTAAAGTTTTATCCACCAGATCCAGCAAGTCTTCAAGAGGAATACACAAGGTACAGTACATGTATCTTCTGTACACTTGATTACGAATACATCTTTGGACATACTGACAGTATTTCAATCTCTTTTGGTGGTTTGAATTAATGGCCCACGCAAAGAGTTCACATTGATGCAATTTACAGTATTTTTGGAAGGTGGTATTTTAGAGTTGAGGTCGATTATCATTTCTTTTATCTCAGTCGGCAGTGTCTGGGTTTTATGATAAAGAGGTATTCCTACATACATGTAAAGCTGTACTTGAACACACATATTCACTTTTCAGATACGAGTTTTAAGTATGTCTCTATCTTCAGAGAACTCAAAATTGACACTGTAATGTTGAAGGCCTGGTTGTAACTGATTTGTTCATTTTACATGTATTTAGGTTATACAGACTTAATTCTAACAGTTAAATTTGATTTTACAACTTACTGATTTTGCATTTTATGCCCATAGGTATTTGTTTGGTCTTCAGATTAAGAGAGATCTTCTAAGTGGAAGGCAAGTTTTCATCCTTTTTCCTTTTTCTTTTGTTTTTTCTTTTTTTCTCATTGTGGTCCCCTTACACAATTTTATTTGTTTGCATGCTTGGTGTATGGTAGCTATTACCAGCAGTATTGGTAATAGCTGGTAATTGTCGGACACTAGTGGCTAGCAACAACTTAGATGTCATGACAATTTCAGTTTGTTTACTAGCTAAACTGGCCAGTAGAAATCGAAAACCACTAACCAAAACTAAATTTCTAATAGTATGTGGCTAGTTGGCTACTGTTAGTGTCGAGTCCTGAATTTTTTTCTTCTCTTCTCTTGCCTCTTTTTTGTAGTAAGGATAGTATTATTATTAACCCATTAATGGCCTCAGCTTTTGTGGAAAACTGTGTTTTGAAGCTAGTCAAGCAGATTTCGGGTCACAGTTGTGGTTTTAAAAGCTCAAACTTACCAAAAACCCCTTGACAGCTCGAGTGTTCAACGGCCTTTCGATCCAAATGCAAAATGGCTGCCTGAAAATCTCGGGCACATGCAGAAAGGAAAATTTGCACAGTTTTTGGGTTGAAAAGTCATGCCCCACTTACGACTTTTACTTTTCTCTCTTTCTCCTGCCCTTTTTTTCCCCTCTCCTTGCCTGAAGTTTCTCCTCACTTGCTGGAAATTGAGTAGGCTTCATTTTGGTGTAGAGATTTTTCAGAAACTACTCATCATTTTCAAAGCACATGCTTGGAAAGGTAGGTGGGTAATGAAACACGATTTTCGTGCAGATTTTCAGGTCAAAGTGACACGGTTTTTTGGCTATTCCTCCAATCTCCTTCACTCAATTGCGCTCATTCTGGTATCATCTGTAAGATATTTTCAACCTGTTCAAGTATGTGCTCAAATTCGTGCTCCAGGGTTAAAAGTGATGACATCACAAGGCGTTGAAAGGGTGTGGGTCCCCATGGGCGCACTGGACGTCAATAGGTTAATCTGTATCCCCTTTTAACATTTCAGATTAAAATGTTCAGAGAATACAGCAGCCCTTCTGGCATCATATGTTGTTCAGGGTATGTATAACTTGAATAAAGGCTGATAGTTTCTAAAGAAACTCTTAGGGGCTGCACCAGTGGGGGTAATGAAATAATTTGGATATATCAACAAAGTTGAAATGGTAAATTGGCCACCGTAACGATTACAAAAGCTGACCTTTTGAGCATTAACCCTTCGTCGGAGCGAAAAGAGGAATTGTGGGTTGTGTGTGCTTTTAAAGGCAGAAATTGGAGCTACGTTATTGGTGGGAACATGACAATGAGAAAAACGCAAATAAATTAGTGGAATGAAAAGCATTCGTTGATCCCTGTGGGATTTAGTTGCCATGTTCCCGCCAATAACGTAGCCCCATTTTCTGCCTTTAAAAGCACACACAACCCACAATTCCTCTATTCGCTCCGACGAAGGGCCATCCTCCGAGACCCAGGGGCTGTGAGTCGATTTCAAGTTAGGGCTGAAGAGCCCCTGGGGACATTGTCTTGCAAGACTAGTTCCAAACGGTTGCAGTCGTTCTGGCGTCTGATTGGTGCCAGAAAATCTTTGTGTTTTTGTGCCCAATCAGAGTGAAGTGCGCTTTAGTGTCCTTTCGTGTGTTTTAACATGGACACAAACAAGAAGCTCAGTTCCTTGCCATGTTTGTTAGGGCTGTACTAAGGAGATTTGCTCGAGGTGTAAAGTTTCAGTCTCAGCACACAATGTAAGAGAAATCGATGTGATTGTCCGCAAAAATCTCACCAGAAATTATACTGAATACTTTCGCAGGTATCACAAGATAACGTGTTTAAAAGTTTGCAAGGTTCGTATAAAACACGATGGTTGCAGGTGTTGATATGTCACTTTAAATGTTAAACGAGATTTAAGCTTAAATCTTTCTAGATTTTTTGTATAATTTGCTGTGACTGAAACTTTGCCAATCACGTGAAGTTATTTCGTCACCCAGGCCACGCAGGTATGTTGAGCAACTGGCGCTTACACAGCTTTCTGTGCGTGCCAAAATCTAATCTTTGCTTTGTAGTAAAGTCTTTCACAATTTGGCCAAGGTTGCTGAGAACATTAAGTTCGTGGACGACCTCCAGCAAGCGCTTAGAGTAAGCTTAGCTGTGTTTCCAGTTAGCTAATTAAAATCTGAACAAAAACTTATTATCGAGAACATCCTGGGAAGGAGAGATGTTTTCGGACAGTTACCGAAGGGGTTTAGAAAGAGCTTCATCTTTCAACTGAGTGTTCAAATTCTTGGGCTCGAAAGGCCACGGATTCTCTTCTAGTCCCTGGGTCATTGTCATTTCGCCTCTTTTGTCGATTGAAGACCAAGTTAAATACCTTTGATCAGTACCTTAGAAAATCAGTTGATCGATGCTGCTTTCATTTGGGAAAACAAAGCCAAAGACCAAGAAATATTGGATGGAAATGGTGGGTTTGCTTTATTGTAAATGTCAGCTTAGTACAGGGCCATCTACCCACATTTAATAAACAAAAGTTTCCACACGCGCCTAGCTTTTCTTTTTTTTCAAGCAAAGATTAGATCAGATTTTGGCATGCACAGAAAGCTGCGTAAGCGCCAGTTGCTCGACATACCTGTGTGGCCCATGCGACGAAATAACTTCACGTGATTGGCAAAGTTTCATTCACAGCAAATTATACAAAAAATCTAGAAAGATCTAAGCTTACATCTCGTTTAACATTTAAAGGGACATATCAACGCCTGCAACCATCTTGTTTTATATGAACCTCGCAAACTTTTAAACACGTTCTCTTGTGATACCTGTGAAAGTATTCAGTATAATTTCCGGTGAGATTTTTGCGGACAATGTGATCGATTTCTCTTACATTGTGTGCTTAGACTGAAACTTTTCACCTCGAGCAAATCTCCTTCGTACGGCCCTAACAAACATGGCAAGGAACTGAGCTTCTTGTTTGTGTCCATGTTAAAACACACCAAACGACACTAAAGGGCACTTCACTCTGATTGGGCAGAAAAACACAAAGATTTTCTGGCACCAATCAGATGCCAGAACAACTGCGACCGTTTGGAACTAGTCTTGTAAGACAATGTCGCCAGGGGCTCTTCTGCCTTAACTTGAAATCGACTCACAGCCCCTGGGTCTCCGAGGATTATGAAGGGCTAACGCTCGAAACATTAGCTTTTGTAATCGTTACAGTGGCCAATTTACCATTTCAACTTTGTTGATATATCCAAATTATTATGTATAACTTGATCCCATTAGTTTTCAAGCTGTCTAACATTAGGAGAGGCTTCAAGTTTATCTGGAGGTTTTAAGCGAACAACTTTTTAATTCCAGATTCATGTCTGAAAAAACTACAATGTACCATGCGGTTTAGTCTCTCTAGCAGCCGTTTATTTGGATGTCGCGCAACGCTCCCCCAAAAAGAATGGCTGCTGACAACTGAACTACATTCCTTTCTCCGAATTGGCCAATCACAGCTCGGGTTCCATTTTTAGGAACCTTTTCACGCCAGACTCACCTTTTGAGACTCGTCCAATCAGATATCGTTTTCTATCGCGATCCTCATGTGGAAAACACAAGACAAATGGCAGTGCTTGAAGGAGCTTTTCGCAAAGCCTCGTCAAAGTTCAAAATTTTCGAGCTTAAAGCTCACCAGAAGCTTGCAATTAAAAAAGTTTTAGTCGAGAAAGAAGATGTTTTTGTTAATTTGCATACAGGATCCGGGAAATTGTTAATATATCAAGCACTCCCACTCGTGTTTGACCATGTTACCGATGAAAGTGGTCATGTTGCTATTGTTGTTGCGTTGTACCAACATGCAGAAACACTCGATAATTCGGGCCGATTTCCTGTACCGGTGATAAGAAGCCACAAACATAACTAATCGGGTTCGCTCCAGCTAGCAGCGGACTGGCAAATGAAGAAGTACAAGTAGTGTAGGAGACGTTTGCCGACCTAAATTGCAGTGTTCTCGAAGCTTCGCCCGGTTTGTTGACGGCAAGCACTCGCTTTTTTCCTCCTGATCTCCATCTGTAAGTCGAAGCAATCGTTTAGCCCTTGCCCTAGATTGAAAGGCGTCTTGTATTTCCTTTTGATTATTGATGTAATTTACTGTTTCTTATATATTCTGACTTTTATAATCTGTAGTAACCTCTTGAAATAGTGCGAATAAAGAGTTTCAGTTCAGTTTTTAGCTTCTTCTACTTTCTCAGTTGCTCACTGAAACTTTAACAACCGCTCAAACAATCTAGCGTTCGTGTCGTTGATGTAGCAGTTGATGTCTATGGTAAGCGTAGATTCTATAATTTCATCGAAATTGTGAGAAGTTTTCCCAAAAATATATACTCTATCTTTACCAGGTCACAACAATGAACATGTGAAACATTTCGAGCTCTCATCGACAAATTTCTTTAGTGTTTTTCCCAACATCCACATCTTCGCGTGAAACCTTACGTCATTCAGATTTTCTGGTATGTGATTGGTCTGTTCAATAGACCGCGACCAAACTGCAAGGACAATGAGAAAGGAATGTAGTTCGGTTGTTAGCAGCCGTTCTTTTGGGGGAGTGTTGCGTGACATCCAAAAAAAAAATGGCTGCGAGGGAGACTACATGCGGTTGGGATAGGGTCTCTTCATCTTGAGACAGCAATTAATTTTCTCATGTCTCTCATGCAACTAAAAGCCTCTCAATTTTTTTCAATTTCAAAAATAGAAGATGGAAATTGTATGCAACTGATGAAATATGTACAGTGGAATCCCGATTTCTCGAACCCTGGGTTTCTCGGACCTCCCGATATCTAGAACCAAACCTTGTTTCCCTTGGATTTGCTTCACTTGTAATTTCACCCCCGTTTTCTCGAACTCCCAATTTCTCGAACCAATTTACATTTTCCCTGGGGGTTTGAGAAATCAGGATTCCACTGTATGTTAAGGGATATCGCTAAGTTTGAAGCAGCGGTTAAAGTGGAGATATGTACATGTAGGACTGGAAGTACGTAGTGTAATATGCAGCCAAGTGTAACTCATCAAGGATCAACATCTTTACTCATACCATTTGACCCCTAGGAGTGACTAGCATCTAATTTCTCCTTACAATATCACCCCTGAATCACACGTTATGGTCAGGAGAATTAAGGAAATGATCACCAACTATAATGGCTCTTGATTGTTAAAGAAATTCTCCTTATCAGCACCTTAAGAAATGTTTGGGAAATAGTATGGAGAATATGCATACTGATGTTAGGGTTTAAAGGGTTAAGTGAGCTCAGTCATAACAGGTGTTTAATGGTTATGGCCCCTATTGACAGCTCTGCATGTTCTTCCTTTTTTGTAGGTGAACTTGGTGATTATGATTCCGTGTCATGCAGACAAGGATATTTGTCAGAGTTTCAATTTTTCCCTGGCCAGGTATGTTTGCTAGATGTTGTGCATAAAGTTTATTTATATGGCATTCCTTGTTAAAATCCATGTGCTTTTTACGTGTATTCCTCCAGATATAAAGTTGATTTGTTTATCTCCTGTGTTTTCTAACTCTTTTCAGACAGCTGACTCAGAAAAGAGAATATCAACTTAACACAAAGAGCACAGGTACTAATTACTTTTTTTTCCCAGTCACAGGTTGGGTTTTTAAACTCAAGTACATGTACATGATAGTTAATATACATTATAGATTATTATTATTTTGTCTTCAAAAAATGGTTCTCATTGATAACATGTTTCTCACAATGCTAACATAACCAAGGATACCAACATTTCATTTTCATTGTTGACATTTAAACAGTACCAAGAATACAGTAAATGCTTTGAAGCATGCAGTCATATGTGAAAGTGAGTGTAGTCCTGAGAAGGATTGTTGTGGTTAGAAGTGATGTACAAAGTATATGAATGTTGAAACATCAATTGCTACCACTGACAGTTGTTCTCAGGGCCACACGTGAATGATCAGACTACACTATCAGTGCCTAGAATTCTTAGAGATGAGTAGCAATGCCAGGTTTTCCTGTTTTGTGCCCACAGTGCTGTCAGTTATTTTGACAAAGGACTTGGGTGATTAAAGAAAATCTAAATTATTTGATGCATATGCATTTATGTACATGCACAGTACGTAGCCAATACCAGTCTTACATGTACTTTGTATTTTACATTCACACATGTACATTTACAATTCACGATTCAAAAACTTGTATAATGATTTATGGTACCCCTCAAAAGTGAGTTGAGAGTCTTGACATCAATACTTAATGCTTGATACTATTGAGAATAGAGGATCAAGATTTGAGGCTCAAGTATTGAACATCAAGGACGGAAAAGCGAGGATCAAGATACTCAAAGAACTACTCGATACGCAGTATAGAGAAAACTATTTGATTATTGCATGCAAAACGATTGTGAAGGACAAAGCACTTGACATGTGGATCTTCTTTATACACACAGACAGCTCATAGATATGTGAATATTTTCATATTGTCTAAGACTGGAGCTTTAGCTGTGCCCTGTCTAAGTGTTGATGATATTTAATAAAACGTGCATTACATTTTATATTTACATCTGCAAAACTTAATTTTAGGACACTTGAACTTTGAGTGTCGCAATACGTTGTTTACATTCAGCTGTACAAATACTGTAATTTCTGGCCGTTTACCCGCCTGCGGGTTACGTGACAATCTTGAAATCTACTGGCAGTTGAAAAAAATTCTCATCTACCTGGGTGTCCACCTCTCAGATGAATTTTATTGTATTAAGAGTGCTACAAAGTGGCACGAAAACATGATGCTGACTCGAGTTTATTTCAGTTAATTAGCTGTGCGACAAAGCAATTTTTATTGGCATGTGTGTAAACAAAACCTTGATGGTGACAAAAATAATCCAAGGATAACTGGCACATCAGTACCATATTTCCAGTTAACACTAGTTTGAGCTGAAGAGAATTTTCCCATTTTAATGGACTTGTTAGGCCTAGTAGAACTGGAGATATCGATTTTTTTGAGAAATGAACAAATCGACATGGTGCTGAACGATTGCTTGCACAAAATGTGGCCACGAATTTGCATTCTGTCAAGTATGAAACATTGTGAGCCCTTTTGTACAAATTTCCTTTGCTTTTGAGGTGTAGGTTATCCACCAGTGCAGGAGTCTTTTAACTTTTTTTTTTTGCCACATGCAATAATTGGCCAGTGTGGGTAATCGGCGGTGTGGGTAAACAGCCAGAAATTATGGTCACAGTTTATTTGAGCCCAGGTTTCCTTTTTGTGAGGATGTTTGTGAATAGCTCATCTGTCATTTTGTCTTGATGTAGGTTTTAAAGTATGATGTAATGTACATTTCTAGTGTCAGGAGCACACTTCACCTTGATTACAAATTTCTACTGCTGTAGAACTGTGGAGCATGCTGTATTGTTAGGACATTACAATTAAATATTTGATAGGTTGAAATATTTATGTGTATTGTACATCATTTTCCTTTGTTTTTTTAGGGGTCTGTTGCCTGCTGATGCTGACTACAACCTCTTGGATGTAGCAAGAAGACTAGAGATGTATGGTATGATACTTTATCCTGCCAAGGTAAGACATTCTGGGGAGTTGCTGAACATTTTAGTTCTGAATTGAATGGAAAGAAAAAGAATGGAAGAAAAAATAAACTAATTTTACTTAACAATGACATTAAATAGAACTCCTTCAAGACATTACTGTGAATCTAAATCTCTACCCACCCCCTCCCCTCCCCCCCAGAAGTACCCATCCTTTGTGCAGTAACAGAGTGATATACTACATTTTTATTCCTTGCAGGACAAAGATGATGTTGAACTTTTCCTAGCAGCAGCTCATATGGGAGTCTGTGTATTTCAGAATGGGGCGAAAATCAATACATTTTCCTGGTAAGTACACGACTTGTCAGGGATGTAGATAATAGCCAGAAGCCAGAAAAATTACCCGGCTGTGAACGTAATTTTTCCGGCTGTAAAGCACTACTTCTTTCTATAAAATCTTTTTAAATGTTGTCAGAAGATTGTTATTTATTTATTTTGTTCATTTACATCTTCACTGCTGTCTTACCTGAACTGAAAGGATTGTAAACACTCCATTATTTTAGTGCGGCAATATATCGCATCATTCTCATCGCATCGTCCATTTTCCAGGCTCAATGGCCAGCGGTATTTATTTCTTCATGTATGGGAAATGATGAATGCCCTTGATTTTGCTCCTAGAAACAAGGAAAATGCATCTCCAAGAGTATGCATTTTCAAAATTTCCTGGGGAACATGCCCCCAGACCCCCCTAGTTATAGCATGCCAAAGGCACACCAGGGTGGGCTTTCAGCCCAAGTACCCGCCTATCATTGCTAGATTTCTGCTTGTTAAAAACTTTAGCTACATCCCTGCTTGTACATCTACTCATGGTGTTTTCTCTACGTTGAAGTTCCTAATCCTGCTGTCAGGACCCCTCACCTTTCCCCCTTTGTCACTCAAATAATAGATGAGGAAGTAGGTTTTTAATGGTTTTGTTGACAATGTGTGCCCACTGATTATAGATGTATTTCATCTCTGTTTCAGGGCAAAAATAAGAAAGCTTAGTTTTAAGAGAAGAAGATTTCTTTTGAAGCTCCATCCAGAAATCTTTGTAAGTCGTAAATATAGTGAAAAATTAGGACCTGGCGTCTTGTAGTTGTATGCGTACAGCTATAGGGTTATTATTCAAATGAGTTTTAAAATTTATCTTGAATTGTTCTAGTTTTGCTCTATTTGCTCTGTGATTAGTCTACATTTAGAAAATGCACATCATAGTCCAAACCAGGTGGATGCAAAAATCTAACCAATTCCTACAATAGACTTTACTTCTTGTGTTTTACCATTTGCTTCATTTGCTCTGTGATCAGTCTAGAAAATGCAAGTCAGTCTAAACCAGTTGGATGCAATTTGCAAAACTAAAACCAATCCTTACTTAACTGCTTGGGCTTTAAGTTTGCCTATTTTAACTTCTTGTTTTTCTTAATGATTGGCACTGATTACTTTGATTTTGTTTTTTTGACACAGTCCAAAAATTTCTCTGCTCAAACCTATTAAATATTTTTGGTGCATTCTAATTGTGTTCCTTTTTATCTTAGGGCCATTACAAGGATGTTGTAGAATTTCTAATGGCAAGCAGGAATGCATGTAAAAGTTTTTGGAAAATTGCAATAACCACACATGCTTTCTTCAGGTAGTTCATTAAGGTGTTTAACTGTAGTTTTTCTCGAATACCAGAGAAATGTGGATTGTCAAATTTAATTGTTTAACCCTTTACCCCTGACATCAGTAAGCATATTCTCTATACTGTTCTCTATACATTTCATAAGGTGCTGACAAGGAGAATTTGTTTAACAATCAACAGCTCCTTAAGGTGGTGATCATTTACTTAATTCTCGTGACCTTAATGTGTGATTTAGGGGTGATATTGTAAGGAGAAATTAGATGTGAGTCACTCAGGGTCAAAGGATTAACTGTGCTCAGTTGAAGCACATCTTTTGTTTTTACATTGAAACTTGCTTTAAAATGAGTCTTTCATAGTTACAGCAGTGACATACATGCAAGGGAGTGTTTTGTAATACAGTTGAACCTCTCCACAATGGCCACCTTAAGGACAGAAGATAGTGGAAGGGGTAAAATGTGTGGACAGCTGGACGAGACCAAAAAAATGGCCATTGTAAAGCGGTGGCCATTAGTGGAGGTTGGACTGTATCACTTTTGCTCTGATACAATTATACAATTAATCTATGCTAAATAAAACTCTGTGGATCACATTCTAAGTACATTGATATTTTTTGTACAAAACTGAATGACTGCAGAGAAAGGAAAGCACATTTAATTGACTTGTTTTCTTGTAGACAAAATGTAAATACTCCAGTTCCCAAGTCTCGTCCAAGAATCCTCAGCAGAGGCTCATCATACAGATACAGTGGAAGAACACAGAAACAAGTCATTGAAGGATGTCGAACAACTTTCAGACAACAACCTCTGTTCCAAAGGTTTGTTTCTTTGATCTGTTGGTCAAAAGTACACAAATGTTACTGTATCTGTTAATCATCACAGCATAAATTTAACACTGCATACACCAGGTATATTGACAGTGCCAGCAATGACTATATATACACAGTAATACTTCTTCCCAGACAGGTATCAATAATTATACTGTCATGTATGGTGGCTGTGTGGTTAGTGTTGGGAGTTGCAAATTAGAGTTCAGCCCTTGAACCCTTGCCTTGTCATTGTGTCGAGTTCTGGGGCAAGATGCTTAATTTTCTCAGTGTCTTTTCCATCCAGGCGAGGAGAATTGATGGAAACAAGGATTAGCTTCAGCTAGATTAGGACTTGACAAATGTACTTGTACTTGTCCATAAGCAGCTTAAGGACTTGGCTTGTACTTGTCCATAAGCAGATTAAGGACTTGGCTTGTACTTTTACATTTATATGCTGACCCTGCACAGGTGGAGATCCTCAATTTTTTGTTTTTGTTTGAGTTTTCCATTAATGTGAATCATAATATTTTTCCCCTCAGATCACAAAGCATGAAAACACCCACAAGACACAATTCTATGGGAAACTCATCACAGCCATCACCTATGTTTTTTTCTGGGCTAAGTGAGAACACACCACCAAAGCCACTTATACCTCTCCAGGAAAAACGGCCGTTATCCTCAAATGGACCAACAACAAGTATTGTGCACAGAGAGAGCCCAAAGGAAACTCCACCTGTGGAGGACTTGGTCACTGAGCCATTACCTGAAAGGAAGGGTTCCATTCCACTCCAAGATCTTGATGAAGAACCGGACATGATGAGGGAGGAGTCGGATACACCGTCAGAAGCTCAATCAGAGGCAGACCTAGAGTGGCAAGCTGAACCGCTTGAAGTAGCTACTGTGAGCATCAATGAGGCTGTTGTAAATGTGCAGGAATCTGGACAAACAGCAGATGATAAAGCCAGAGAGGCTGTGGAGAATGTTGATGAGGAATTAGAACATGGTACACCTCTGAATTGTTACAGTGGAGGTGATGATCACAATGTTGAAGAGAAGGTTTTGATTCCAGAAGGATGTGTGCGCATCGAGTATCAACCACAACCCAAACCACCATCACCTGTGGAGGTGAGTGATGTTGACACAATGTCACCTCCACCACCCTCTCCTCCCCCACCACCAGAAGATGATGAAGATGATGAGATTCCAGGAGAGATCAGAGATGAAGGTGTCGGTCAGGAATTTCCATCGCCGCCACCAGAACTATTACCCTCACCACCACCCGAGTTGTTAAATGACTTTGAAAAGTAAGTTGATTTATTTAAAGGCTAGTGTAAGTGGTTTCTGTAAACATACACAAGTACATTGAAGACAGGGTTTTTGTTTTCACTTACCAAGGACATATTCGTGACTAAGTAAGGCAGAATGGCAGTCTAAAACTCTGCCTTTTGATGTAAGGGTAATTGGACCTTTCAGTGGAGAGAGAGTAAAGTCAGAAAAATAAAAAAAAAAGGAGGAAAGAAATAGCTTGAAATAATTTCTGATAGTGTGTTAAGACCAGACATCTAGACCCGGCTATGTCCTGACTCCCTCTGTTCAATTCATTCTATTGCTATTGAATTATGAGTTTGAGGAAAACTATCACTATATTATTATGCAATCTTTTAGCTCAGAGGAAGTTGAGCGTCCAATACCTGTTGTTCCATATAATGGTTTCCAAGAGGAAAATCAAAAACTAGATCATAAGGATGAAGAAAACAGGGAAGCAAAGAGAGATTCAGCAAAACTAAACATCACATGCAGCAGCATAGTGACTAAAGTACAGAATGGTGGAGTAACAAGACATGGAAAAGGTGGGTGCAAGTATTCTTGGCACAAAAGATTTCTTCAATTACAGTATTCACTCTGAGTATGAATGATAGATTTTCAAGATGCATTTCTATGGAGGTTTTGATAACTTTTACATAAGCAGCTACCAGTGTTGTAAGACGTGGCTGTAGCTGGAAAAGGGGAAAAGGGAAATAGGAGAGGGGAAAAAAAAAAGAAAAGGGGAAACCCAAACAGGTTAAACAGATGGTGGCAAGAGGTCTCAGAGTGAGGTCTCAGTGACAGAAGAGCATTGTTGGTAAAATTAGCAGGCAGTGCAGAGAGCTTGGCAGGTGAATGCTGAAAATTTTAGATGATTGGTCGAAAATTGTTTTTGTCAATGTAGAATGGGTATTAAGAAAGTTAAATGAATACTGGCAGCCTATAAAAGTATTGCAGCAATGGGAGCTGGCAGTTATTGGCAGTGTGGTTTTGTCAGAAGGCTCGATTGTTAAGGGGATTGTTTCATGTAAAACATGTACAGGTGTTTTTAACAAGGCTTAATGATGTTGCATGTTGTACAGCCAACTGGTAGCCATAAGCCATTGTTAGTGACCCGAGGACGTAGTTGCATGTTACATGTATGTGGAGTTGAAGTGTGTGTAGAGGGTATTCAACATTATAACTGTGCTAGCTGGGCAGTGAAAACAGACAAACATGTAGATGAAAATTTCTACATGTAGTTCTTATCTATTTGCATAAATACTTAGTTTTACAATTATTGTGCTTGTGTATACAGCTGTAGTACACATATGTGGTGGGAATTTTGTTGGAATTAATCTTCATGTGCACGTACAGACCTGTATGTATGTGTATTCTCACCACAGGAAACATGTACCTTTTATGCAATCTGGTACAATTTGATTTGAAAATCAACTCTTTGTTACAGTTGTGATCATGCCATGAAGCAATCAAGTAAAATGACTCTGTTTCAAATGTTAAACAATAATTATGTATTACTGGAATATCAAATTAAAGTAAACCCTGGCATTTTAAGTTTTAAGATGCACTTAAGAATAAACATATTAATAGACAAGTGCTTTTATTTTAAAATAAATTACCATCTGTTGCCATATGAGGTAAAGATTTAAAGGAAAATTGTTAAGTAAATAATTTAAGCTTTTTAAAAACAGTGTAACATTTGTAAAAGACTGATTTACTGATGCTGTATATTGTATATGGTTTAAGAATGCTGTGCATAGCATAAAGAGAAACTTTGTCTCTATTATTGTAAACATTTGCCTTAGTTTGCATTGTCATTCAAATAACTTTGGCCAAAAAGTTTTAACATAATTGTTGGACTAATGACAGTACTGTACATCATCAACACCAAAGTCTGGCAAAAGAAATTGCTGGGATGATTTCAGAACTGCAGTGATTGGGTTAATTGAGGATGCCTTAAGATCATTCTGTACATCATGTATCCATGCATCTCTTACTGTACTTTTAATTACTAACCTGTGTTATTGACACAGTTAATACCTAGTGAAGCAGCAAATTATTTCTCATACTTTTGTTCTCTTTGCTCTGTTTGCATGTATGACATGCTTCTCTGTCATTGAACTATTTTCATTTGCATTCTCTTTGACAAAACTCTTTCTCTCTTACCTCTTCTTCACTCTTCCTGACATAGTTCTTTTCTTCCTAATCTTTTTCTCTAGATTATGATGAAGTCTGTGGTCCTTGAAGTCAACAAACAACAAACACTGAGTAAACATGGTTTTCAAGATAACAAAGGACATTTTTTGCTAAATGACTTGCTTTGTTGGCCAAGGCTGTATTCAAAACAAAGACCTTTGACTACAGAGTTATATGCACCATAAAGTTCTTAAATCTATGATAAGTAAACTCGGTTTTGGCGGAAATGCAGATGGTTAAAACTATGCTAATAATCCAAAGAATGTCGTCTTTGCTTGAATCAAAAAGCTAATCCATTTCCTGTCTCTGGATTACACTAATGATTGCTCTAACCTAAATACGGCTTAAAAGTTACTGAGGCGTGTCTCCATAAGAAAGCAGACTTAAAACTGACGTGAGATTTCTTAAGATCTTAATCTTTTGTTTATAGTGAATTGTCACTGAAGTAAAACCTCAGGGTTTTACATTATTTTTAGCCCGTCAGACAATAGTAAAGTGGGAGCTGTACACAAAAATGGTTATCTTATTGGGACAAAGGAAACAATTACAGCGTAATATTGTTAACTGAGCTGTAGGAACGTGGAACGTGCTATCAAAGTATTGCTTCTTGAGTATGATATTTGATTAAATGTTTGATACTAGTCAATAATGCTCGAAAGGTATAACTTGTTTGAGTATTTATCGAAGAGTTTATTATGTATATGCAAAGGTGACGCTAAAGAATGAGACAAAACAGAGAAATAATTGAAGTCGCTTTATATTCTTGCAAGTACACTGCATATTACTTCAAGTGCAGCCTTTGAAACAGTGCTTATAGAAGGTTTTGTAATAACTAAGACAATCCAACCAAGAAGTTTTCATTGTTTTGGTTAATTTAGACAGTGATATGCTCAAGGCGATAGGTACATACGTATATATAGTTAGCAATTGACTGGATATTTTCCTCGCGGCTTGGTGAATATCCGCCGCTTTCACCAACACTGAGGTGAATAATTGTTTTTGTATATACCACACAGATACCGAGAAAATGGTATATTTCTTTCAATAATGGTTGGAAAGGAAAGTCTTAACGCGCGATTTTGTCTCATTGGCTGCTCGGAGGTGAAAAGTACTTGTACTCACTTCTGTGGTGTATATTAATTGCATAATGCGCCTAAATGTACATTCGTTTTACTTGCGGAAAATACAGTAATAAGGAGCTAATGTTCCCTTAAATATGTTGTCTTCATTTGTCACTTAGTACATATCAGTTATCATATATATGGCTTTTAGAGTTCTAAGAATAAGGAGCTTGTTTGTTATTTAAAAGTGACAGCTTCAAATAACTGGGCATTTTGATGAGTTTGTTTAACATGAAATGCTTAGATACAGCAGTTCTATTCTAGGTATAGTGCAATCGCTGTCACTACTTTAACAGACTTTCTAATTTTCAGTACCTACCAATGTTTAGGAAAGAGCGTACAGCTAATCATTTTTGTGGAGCTAAAAACTGAAGTTCAAAATTCCGGCACAACTCCAATCTTAAAGAGTGAGAACTTCTTGTAGTTTCATTCGATTTCATGCGCGTTTTTGTAGCGCTCCAGACGAAAGACCTACCCAACTGATTGATGTTCGGTTAACTGAGGTGTGGGATTTAGATAACATAAGAACTGGGCTTTAAATTCCTCTTTAGTCACAAAAAATGATGCAACAAGATCGAACTTAGGTTAAGTTTTTTTTCGGTTTGTTTTCGCCCCCCGGGGAACATGCAGAGTTTTGGAGATCCCTTTTCATGAAACTCCTCATTACTCAGGAAGGGTTTTTTTTTTTTTTAATTAGATCGTAATGTTAGACTCCCTCGTAATTTTATTTTTAACGACGATAAGAAATTCCCTCGTAATTTGTAACGATGATAAGAAATAAACACATTTTGGGGACATCTGTTAGTTCAAAGGACTGTGATAAACCTGGATACCGGAATTTTGGGCCCCCTCGGCGAACCTTGACTGGGATAACTTTGGCATTATCCTGGATGTCTTGAAACCCTTGGGTTTCTCGATTTGACTAAGTTGAGCTTGGTGAAAGGCCTAGAATCATTAGGTTAGTTCAGATATTTCCTCAACTCAGACTGTTATGGGTTGAAAGGACCAATAAATTATTCGCTAAAATGGGGACTGAATATTGAAACAGCAACATATCACAAAAAGGACACTGTAAAAATGCTTGCTTTCCAACGATATGAGTTACATCAAGTTCAAATTGTCAGTTCCCACTTTTGAGACCATGTACGTTCTTTTTCATTTCGGCGAAGGACGTATTCGCCTTCACCCTTTAGACCTTAGCATTAGAATGCTTATTCCTCATGCAGTTTTCTACACATTTTTCATGGTATCGACGAGGAGATTTTGTTTGATACGAGCTTCTTTGGAAGGGAATCGCATTGTAAGGAGAAATTCGATTCTAGTCACGTCTAGGGGTGGGGTGGTACATGCGAGTGCGTATCTTCCTTCCGCTGAATCCAAGTAGTGTCTCATTTCAGGTAGCAGAGGGTCTCGTCACAGCACAGACAGCGGGGCAACATCAGACTCTGGTGAAGCAAGGGATACGATGTTTGACGAACTGTCGTCTCCGTTCCGAAGTGACATGGAAACATCTCCCCCAGTGTCCCCCACCACACCGATTTCATTCCCAAAGGGTGCTTACATCTCCAAGGTAAAAGCTGAAATGTACTCAATTTACTGAATGGCGGAAAAATATCTGGCTCAAGGTAACGAAGTACAGACCGAGCACAACGAGGTCTTTATCATGATCGAGAGCCAAATATTTTCCCGTCCGGCCTGACCAAACTCGTTCAATGAACATTAATTTTGAAATGACTGCCGCTCTTCTGGGAGTAATTATATTAAATGTATTATGTTGTATTGATCTTTAGGAACTGTACAGTGCGGCTTACAATGTCGCTAGAGAGCTGTTGAACACGGAAAGGACGTATGTATATACATTGACATGTAGTTACGAATATAAACACTGACTCCGCTCCTCACCTTTAGGGAAAAAAGTCATGTAAATCCCTCTTATCTGTCGTTCGGATTTTTTCCTCCTCATTTTTCAATACAACTTTGTTGCCCCGGATTTTATTTTGTATTTTTCTTACTTGTTTTATTTTGGTACACAGTGTGCAAAACTAATTATTTATTTTCCTAAATTAATAGATTTGTAAAGGACCTGGAAGTTATTACCATTGTAAGTAGCGAGCTTTATTTCTGTCTTTCTCTTTCTCCACCAGAGATTACGTAACCTCAAATAGTGGTCAATCAATACCTCCTACTACCCAAGCTCGAGGTCCGTACAGTAAGTTATGGACCGAGTTAATTGAAAGGAGGCTCTGTAACTTACAGTATGGCCTGCTAAGACGAAGTTGGCGAGATAGTTATGATATATATCTAGGTTGAAATAGACGGAGATTTCATTTCAAACAATTTGAATGTAGCGGGCTATACAGTGAAATAAATACGGCCCGCTAAATTGACCAATCATAGCGCACGTACAGTGTAGTAACTTAGAGGTATGATTAATTCTTGACTATCGAGGGGCCTGCTTTGCAAGTTGTGTTGAAGTGTTCTTACTGTTATAGTACCGCGTAAATAGAAAACTCGAAGTTATTTGGGAAAATCCCCCACCAGCCTTCGTGGCTGCCCTGTATGTACAAAGGGTGCATCGTTGTTTCGCATGGTCAAGGCGTATCAAATAACTTATCACCTGCTGTTTGCAGTTTTATCAGGCCTTTCGAGATGTTGTTAATGAAGACGGAGTCCTTCCTGAGCCGACAAGAAAGCTTCTGTTTTCTACATTTGATCCAATTTATGATTTCCACTGCTCATTCCTATCCGAGCTCGAACAGCGAATGAACCTGTGGTAAGATCATGTCGTCACTGCATTCTCAGCTTTGCGCTGCGTACAATACAGTACTTCCTAGTTCTACAGCAGTAAGTTTAATTAGTTCAATTTTAAAGATTGTGTCCCTAACTAACTAGAATGCACATGATCATTTGTACGGTATTTTGGTCCAATTGTTGTTGTCAGCTTTTTTGTTCCTTTGTCAGGATATCATGCGTTTGGGCGTTCCACTGCTGACGGGGGGAAAGAAAACTGCTTCAACGATACTACTGTTGTACACTGTTAGGCAAAGATCGTCAGGTCACTAGATTATCGCTACAGATTTTCGCTGTTGTCTTTTTTAGAAGTTTTTCACTTTAAAGGACATTCCTAAACTCGGATCGATGTTAGTATCTGCGTAGCTGCTCACCCACCCACCCCTCCCCTAAATCAGCATTAACCCTAACTTGTTATCAGTTGACTGTAGTTGGGTTAGGGGAGGGGTGGGTGCGCAGTTGCTCAGATACTGTTGTTGATCCGTAAAATCGTTGATCTGATGGTGGTGTTATTGTTTTTGAATTTTAAGGAATAAAAGTGGAGCGTCCAAGGCGAACGAGAGTCCAAGAATGGGAGACTTGCTGCTACGTAACATGAAGCAGATAAAGGTAAGCGAGGACCCTATTAGCATATAGCTGGTGCTTTTCTGCTAAAAGGTATAAACGTTTCTCCCATCATGGATGATATTGAAAGTAAGTATGTGCTAAAAAATGTACTGCGTTGAAGGCACGCCCTGATTGGGTACTCAAACTCCCAATATCCTTTGCTTTTCATCTCCGAACAACTCGCACGCAAAAGATTTGCTCACGAAAAATTTTGCAGTTGTTGCAGGAATATATCGGTCACAATCACTTTTTTTGTGCTGTAGTATCTCATTGTTTTAATCTATACTAAAACAACTATTCACCCCCACGTCGGTGAATAGTTGTTAATTATTTCCTGTTCACACTTCAATCGTGGCGATCACGTTCTAAATTCATGTTACATGTGAAAGCTCTGCCGGAGTCACGTTTCACGGACAAGCAATGCTACCCGCAGACTACGTGAAAAACGAAAGGATCCTCTTTTGTCAGTACGTGATAGATAGACAAATAAATGAGTGAAATTGCACTGAAGACTTTGACTTTCACCAAGAACGTCCTTAATTGTCTGCAGAGAGAACCGTCGGTTGCTATGCTTTTTACACATTTTTTTTGTTTGTTTTCATGGGGGTTGTCATAGGTATCTTGCTTGCAAACCCGTTTGGTGGACGGAAGAAACACTCGTGCGTTTGACCGTTTGTCCGTTCTATTTCCTCACTTTTACGGGTTAGGTACGATGAATATATGAAGTTCATATATTTTGAACTGCGGTTATAGATACGTATGATGCACGATCCTCGCAGTAGAGACCGCTATTTATGCAATAGCGAAAATCAGACCCGAACCTATTGCATAAATCAGACCTGACCTATTGTATAAATCAGACCTGACCTATTGCATAAATCAGACCTGACCTATTGCATAAATAGCGCTCTCTGCTGCGAGGATCGTGCATCATACGTATCTATAAACGCAGTTCAAAATATATGAACTTCATATATTCATCATATCTGATTTATCATCACGGGTTTATTACGAATCAACTTAACGGCCTGCTCCCAGTTGGCTTGTTAGCTCAATTGGTAGAGCGCTGCACTAGTATCGCAGAGGTCAGTGGTTCGAATCCCGTACAGGCCTGATTTTTTTCAGGTCTGATTTTCGCTATTGCATAAATAGCGCTATCTACTGCGAAGGATCGTGCATCATACGTATTTAATACCGCAGTTCAAAATATATGAACTTCATATATTCATTGTATCTGATTTATCATCACGGGTTTATTACGAATCAACTTAACGGCCTGCTCCCAGTTGGCTTGTTAGCTCAATTGGTAGAGCGCTGCACTAGTATCGCAGAGGTCAGTGGTTCGAATCCCGTACAGGCCCGATTTTTTTCAGGTCTGATTTTCGCTATTGCATAAATAGCGCTCTCTACTGCGAGGATCGTGCGTCATACGTATTTTACGGGTTTGTTCATTAAAGTTCTTTAATAAGTTTTTTGTTCCTTTAAGTTGTTGTTTTCCTGTTCATCTCTGCGGGGCAAGTTTGGTTGGGAGACTTCCGATCCTTATGATGTGTACTGTAGTCCGTTTCTGAATTGAATTATTGATTTTTTTGTTTACCAAATCCACCTTTGACTAGCGATACCTACACCACGTGAAGAGACATGACCAAGTGATGCTTGAATTAGAAGATGCAACAAACAACTATAAAGATTTTGAAGTCGCCTACAAAGAGTTCGAGGTATGCTCTTTCTTGATAATTTTTTATGTACCCTTAAACAGATGTGCTACATTTTTTGGTGGCTTATTTGCCCTTTGTTCACTCCTTTCTTTTCTTTATTTTTTTCACAGACTCAAAAAGTTTGTTACCTACCATTCAATGCTTTCATCTTGAAGCCATCACAAAGAATAGTTCATTACAAATCTCTTCTAGAGAGTAAGTTATGATGAATAATATCAGTATATTGTACAGCTAAGGCCATCCCAACGGCCAACTACAAAATATTAAAGGAAGATCAAGATTATTCGAAAGAAACAATAGAAACCTGCGCTGTACAGTTTACTTTCTTCCACAAGGTGCGACCGGGCGCATTTGAATTCTGGTCCCCGTTCTATTTACAAGAGAAGTACTTCTTTCGTCTCGTTCTAGGACTTTTAAAGTTTTATCCCGCCGAACACATCGACCACCAAGACACTCGTAGTAAGTAAACGTAACTTTCTTTTTGCCCTACAACCATTTGGTTCATGAGTATTTCGCTGGTTGAGTCGAGCAAAGACCAAGCGTTATTTAGCTACCTAATGTTTCACTTGAATTTGTTTTTCAAAGCACTGTCCTTCACACCTTATGTTAGCTTTAGGTATTTCCTTACCTACCATCGACCTGAATCGCGATTCTCTCTTGTGGTTTCTATCAATTTCCTTTTAATTTAGTTCCGGAAATTTGGCTTTAAACCAAGATAACACCATCTTAAGCTGTTAATTCAATGTTTCCTTGGTAGTTCATGTATTTTCATTGAAATTGCGAGGAGACGTTTCTTGTGATTCTGAGTCTTGACGCTGAAGGACGTAATCTCCCCTCTAGTGTGAATCGAATTGTCGTAAAGAATTGGTGTAGTTTATGTGAATTACCAACGCACTTTCCCTTATTGTTATTTCTGCGAACTGCCATGTATTTTCAACATGGGAAGTAAAACTCTCTTAACTGAAATCTTGGAATGTATTTCTCGTGCTTCTGTTAGAACTATCCCATTGATCTTTTCATTTCTTGTCCAGGTGCCTTGGAGGAAGTAAACGAGGCAGTTAAAGCTGTAGAGGAAAGCATAAGGAAACTGGTGATTAAAAGTTCCTTTTCTTTTTGATTAAACATTCCTTTCGTTACATCAAACTGTCTTGAAAGACTTGAAATTGTCTTGAGGCATTGTTAGGAAAAAAAACATTGTGATACTTTTTCCTTACCTGCCTTGATGCACTAAAATGCCCTCGTTAAAAGTTTCCTCTTCTCGTTGTTTGATAGGAAAACTTCCAGAAAATCATCGAGCTTGAAAGAGATTTGCTTGGAGTTGAAAATCTTGTGCAACCTGGAAGGGTAAGTAATGGATGCCAGAAAGCAATGGCTTAAAGTGCACCTATACCCAAAAAATTTTTTTCGCTTAACGAAATAAGCTTATTTTTTGGAGTATTTCTCTGCAAAAATTTCTTAATTTGCTCAAATCTTTAATTTTCTGTGCCCAGTCAAAATACGGAAAATCGGCCGCCATCTTGCCCCACGACCGAGTTTAAAGAGGAATGGCTCTAGCGGGTAATGTGACGTCAAATCGAGAACACGAAAGTCTGCATTTCACACATTTTCACTTGTTTGGGAAGGTTGTCGTCGATATTGTCCGAAATATGCCGACTAGGTGTGTTGTATGAGGAATGTATGAAGCGCGATACCCTCTTGCAAATTTCGCACGTTGCTACATCCTTCTACAACACACTTAGTCGGCATATTTTCGGACAATATCGACTACAACCTTCCCAAACAAGTGAAAATGTGTGAAATGCAGACTTTCGTGTTCTCGATTTGACGTCACATTACCCGCTAGAGCCATTCCTCTTTAAACTCGGTCGTGGGGCAAGATGGCGGCCGATTTTCCGTATTTTGACTGGGCACAGAAAATTAAAGATTTGAGCAAATTAAGAAATTTTTGCAGAGAAATACTCCAAAAAATAAGCTTATTTCGTTAAGCGAAAAAAATTTTTTGGGTATAGGTGCACTTTAAATCATTATATTTGGTGCATACTTCGTTATATTGGGTGCTCATTTTATTATACTGGGTGGCTTTTTCGTTCAGTGTTCACTTCATTATATTCGGTGTTCCCTAAATTATATTCGGTGTGCACTTCATTATATTCGGTGTTCATTTCATTATACTCGGTGATTAAATCATCCAGTTCGGTGCTTC